ACATATTAATATGTCGTTATCATTTCGAAAGTTTTGCCGTTCATGTAAAATCATAATAATAATAATAATAAAATAATAATAATAACGTACGCACTGCGGACAAAAAAAAAAAAAAAAAGTGGAGGGCAAAAAAAAAAAAACAAATATTTTTATACGAGACGAGCTGTAGAGGGCAGCGAATTATAAAAATAATAACACAAATATATGATTATGTATATATATATTCGTATTTGGACGGACGTTTTGCCCCAGTCGGACGGACGTGAGCGGGGGAAAAAAAAAACAATCGTAATAAATAATGAAATGAAAAAAATATATCAGACCGCCGTGGCGGCGGCCGCCGCTGCCGTTGGAATAATTAATTACACACACACACACACACACACACACACACACACTCTCGCGCGCGCACACACACTCACACTCGTCCTCATTTTGCCCACTTCTCTTGCGCTCCCGTTGTCGGTAATTTTTATTATTTTTTTGTCGATTTTTTTTTTTTTTTTTTTTATTATTTTTTCATAATTCTATTTTGTTTTTTTTAACTCGTATTTTTGTTTTGTCCTCCATCTTCATCATCATCGTCGTTTCCTCCCTTCATCATCGCGCGACCGGCAGAGGATAGTTTCCAACCAGGATGGTCACTACGCGTATATACCTACCTCACATATTATGTATATAATATTTTTATGTACATTTATCACATGATGGCTTACCATTTGCCAAGGGGTGTGTTATTATAACTGCTGCAGCAGTGACAATCACATTTTGTCGTACCAAATATCATATTATCTGCGAAAAGGTGCGCGTATTTATTTTATTTTAAAACTGCATCAAGGCCTAATGCCAAAACCATCATATAACTTAAAATACTAATAAATATATATGTGTGTGTGGAGGAGAGCAAGAGAAACAAAGGGAGAGAGAGAGATATTATTAAAATTTTAAAAAAATGTGGTTCAATTATTTCAGTGACAGTGCAAAATAATATTATTGGTGGCGGGTGCGTTACTATGCTATACTACTCACCACTACCGCCGCCTTCAAGCTTATTACCCCCACACCATCGACGTCAGTGGTGGTAGCGGTGGTGGCGGCATCGGCGGCGCCGCTTATTTGAATTGCTAATTACCGCCACCTCTCTCCTTTCCTCATAGCAATGTTACTACTGCCGCTGCATGCAGCAATTATTGGATTAATGTAAATGAGCACCGTACCCCTTTTCCTCTTATACATATATATATATGCGCACACGTACATATATATTCGCTTTTGTACGTATACACGCGCACGCACACACACACACACACATATATATATATATATATATATATATATTTATATATATATATAATATATATTGTATATGGACAGGGGCGCAGATAGGGGTAAATAATACAGCGGCGGGAATACGAATAATGTGCGCGAGAGGCGAGAGATCATAGGCTGGTGGTGAGTGGATGAGTAGAAGAGTAGTACCCTTTTCTCTCGTACACACACCTCCCTTGTACCGACGACGATATATAATTATATACTATAGCTTGCAGTATATACCAGCGGTGGTGGTCGATCTGGCGGGTGGTGGTAGTGGTAGAGACGGTGGGGTGGACGGGTTGGCACCCCAACCAGCACCGCCGTACCACCGAACGGGCTGGCCCGAGCCGCGTCGGGATATATAATTAAAATCCGTCCGAGTCGCCGCCGCTGTTGATTAATATATGTAAATTTATTATAATACAATAATAAGATTACCACCGACGCTGCCTAGGCCCAACAGTACCGCTGCTGCTTATATTTTATATTTGCTGCCTATATATAGCATGTGACGGCGACGGTGGTGTGGCGGCCGCGTAGCGATGCTTCAATAAATCCTACTCTCTATTCTTCACAGGAGAAAACGTTTGACGTTTCAAGAATGCAATAATACTTAAAAATGCATTTGACTACTGCCTCTGCGTTCTCTACGATTAAATATTCGTATCTCTTTAGATTAATATAATATTTTAATCTAAAATATAATATACGATACATACATTTACATATTATGTATAATACTATAATATATATATAACGAGTAATATTTTTTACAAACCCGGAACGGAAATAATTTATGCGTATACAATATTATAGTATGCAATCGCATGAATCGTAAAGGTTATAACGCGATGATTACGCACATAGTAATGCTGGAATACAGCTGAATCCGACGACAGAAACAGATGGAAACTTTGTATGTTGGGAGTTGTACACAGAGATGATTCAAATTCGATTACACGGTGGTACTATTACTGCGTAATACACTTTGTACTAGGGTACAGCACTACAGATATTATTACAACGGAGTGCACGGGCCGATGTGTGCGCGTGCGTCTATGCGTGGATGCATGCGTATATGTATATGTGTGCATGTGCAACGGCTAAAGGTCGGAAAAGTTTCTCGGCGGTCCCTGCAATTGTATTAGAATTGACCGGTTTTACCAGCCTCGGTGGGTCGGTAAACAGTGGCGACGGTGCCGGTAGAAGTGCACAGTGACGGTCGGGTGGTCGTTGGACGGTAGAGATAGTTAACTGTGACAGTAGGCGCAGTGCGCTGTACACTGTCGGAGAACGGGAAGAGATGAAATTATAATTACTATCGGGTCTGTCGGGGCTCGACCGCGTGTACAACTGGGAGGAGTGCGTTTACAGAAGAGAACGTGTACACGGCGGTGGCGGCGACAGTAGTAGCGCGGCTGTATGCACGGAGAGACGGTTGACGGAGACGGCGACGAAGGCCTACATAGTAATATACGAGTAAAAGGAAAACGGATGGAGCGAACAAGGGGTAAGAGGAGGGCTTGTGCGTTATATACCAGCAGGTCGGCGCGATATAGTGGTGGTGATGGTGGTGGCAGTCAGAACGGGGTGGACGCGGAATGCATGTGTGTACGTATGCGTGCGTGTGTATATGTTACGTGTGTGTGAGAGCGCGCGCGCGTGTGTTCGTGTGTGTGTATGAACGGTGGCGGTAAAGGGTTGGTCAGTCGACGTAGTGGTATGAAATCAGAGTACAGGGCCGAGGCAAATGGGATTATTCACCCTCTTCCACTACCACTTCCGCCTTACCCACCCACCATACCCCGCGTATTCGGTCCACTATTACTATTACGTCATCTAATTATAATATCGTACCCTTCCTTATATATATATATATATATGTATATATGTATATGTATACAAGTATATACGGTTTTCACCATTTTCGCCGATTCCACCGGCGCCGGTTCTATAAATGCTGCAGTACTACTAACAGCAGACCAACGCCATTACTACCACCGTCGCTACCACTACCACTATTACCACTTGTCTCTTTGCCCCTTACCACCGTGCCACGTCGCGATTTTATTGCGCGTGTATCTACCCTCTCGCAGCTCCAGTGTTCACTATCTCAATGTATACATCTCATTTACGCAGCTGTGCATTGTACATAAGCTATGTTTTTTATACATATATCATGCATTGTAAACGTTTGGTCGTATTCATTCGTTACTATTTTATAATTTTTCAATAAAATTGCAAAACAATGTACTATCCAATAATGCTGTACAATATTTCAGTGTGCATGTACATCGTAAGCCAAGTATACTTGATTCGATAAGGCGGGGATCGGGCGATTTCCATTAAAATTACTCATCCGAATGATAAATTTAAACATGTTAAAACCTAATCGTTTTTTTTTTTTAATTTTCGGTTTTTTCTAATGAAATTTCGAAGGAAAAACAATAAAAATATTTTTGGAAATCGAACAATGTACTGTACACCTGTTCGAATATATAATAACGATTAAAACCGTAACCATTCCTCACTTCTAATTGCAGTCAGGTTCTTTGCATACTTTCAATCAATTATAAACCATTTTTCTATACACGATGCAACCGTAGAGGTAATTTTACGCGTGGTCATAATACACGTTAGACACAAACATAGATTTAATATTATAATATTCGGGTCAAATTATAGTTTTAAGCGGTGCGCAACATTTTCCACCGTTACGACCGACACAATATTATTATGCGCATGGTAAAATATGTATGTATACGAGTGTTACGCTATCAAAAACACTATTAAACACTATTACACTATTAAACCGTCGAAACTGACCTACCCTTTTAAAAAAATACGGCAGCGCACTGACACAACGACTGGGAAAACGAGACAGGGTGCGGAGGGGGGAAGGAAGGAAGGTTAGAAAGGTAAACGTGAAAAAGCTGGCTGTGTCATATTATTATACCGTCGACGACGACGACGACGACGACGACGACTACGCCGCCACCACCGCCGCCCCGCCGCCGTCGTCGTTTTACCCTCGCGGTGGTGGAGAAAAATTACATCGTCATTGTCGTCGACCTTTGCAGTCACCGCCACTATTCCAGCACACCGCACCGCTGTAGCGGCAATATCAGCTTAATAACTTATTTCCAAAGCTTATTACTCGCCACGCGGCATTTTAATCTCCCGGATCTTTATGCACATACGACGTATTCATGTACAAAACGTACATGCACATTTACGTGCGCATACGTATGAAAGCTGCCTGTTCACCGTCGTCGTCGTCGAAATCGATTCGATCGATGCTAAACCATTGCAATAGTAGGATTTCGTTATTATCGCGTGGACTATTTTTTTTTTAATATAAATACCGATCGAATCGATAGCGCGCAAATAAACAGACGTTAAGACGTGTACAGAAACGTGTGACACGTGCGTACATAATAGGCGTACAGACCGTGCGGGGTTGGCTTCGTGTAACGACAACAATAGAACACGACGAAGAAGCGAGGTGCTCTACCCGAGTGTCACGACGGCGTTATAAATGATAATACTAATGTCGTAGAGAAAATATTGTGCACGCCCTAAAGCGCACTCGCAATAATGATAACAATAATAATAATAATAAGAGTGTACCGGGGGGGGGGGGGGGGGGGGGGGGGGGGCGGTGGTGTAACGCTTTGACGACGTACCTTTCTGTTGTGACGCGGCGCCTGCAAAGAGAACGCGGCGCCTCCTTCGGCCGGGTGCGGCGGTTGCGGTAGCTGCAGTTCCGGGTGTCCGGCGACCGGTGTCGCCGCGGACGTACCGTTGTCGTTCGCGTCCTCGCCGCCGACACTGCTGCTGGTGCTGCTGCTGCTGCTGCTGCTGCTGGTGCTGTTGCCGCCGTAAATGTCCGCGAACGAGATGGACGCGTTGTCGTCGTCGCGGCACTGCGGGTGTTTGCGGTGATGCCGGTAATGATGACCGCCGACCATGGTCTTGGTGTGCGCGTGCAACCGGCGGCGTTTCAGGCCGCGGCCGTTGTCCGAGCGGTCGCCGCCGCCGTCGTCGTCGTGGTGACGGTCTTCTCCGTCTTTCGGCGACGCCTTCATGATGTTCGGTTTTTCCGTCTATCTCATCGACGTGCCCCGCGCGGGTTCCTGAAACACGTGCGCACGTCAAACGTAACCGTTGTCCCGGGCGGGAAAACGCGGTACCGCGGCCGCGTCCCGTTGATCGCGCGCGCGCGTCGCACGACGTCATTTCAACGCGTCGCGCGGCACCGAAAACCCTCCGCGTCGTGTTGCCCGCACGACGTGCGTCCGCCGAACGTTTTATTGGCGGATAATGCACGCCGAATACCGTTCTATTCAACTCGCATTGTCCATCGGCCGTCGTAATATCACGTCGCGCGTTCCAACGGCCGCCGGATAACGTCAATTGACCGTTACTAACCCGTCTGGCGCGACCGCTACGACTATCTCTCTATCACTGCTTGTCGGTTTAACCTCGTCACCGCGATATTGTTAGCAACGCGACGTTTACCCGACGCGCACAACACCTATTCGCGATCCGAGCAGCAACACGCGACACGGGACCGAATCGCTTTCGCGTACACGTATCCAAGGCCGTATCTGGGGGGGGGGGTCCAGGGTGTCTGCCCCCCCACCCCACCTCGAAACGTCTTCAATATCTTACGAACAATTATTTATTTTTATCACCAACGTAAATATTTTCGGTCAAAAATGACTCGAGCTCCGATTAATCTAATCGACTGCTTTTAGTTTTATATCATAATATCGTATGACTATCAATTTTAATAAATCTTTTTCCGTCTTATTTTTAACCGAACGTCAAAGGTTAAAATCTAAATTCAATGAAATTACAATATACATGTTTTGGACCCCTCCCGAAAAAATTTCTAGGTCTTGTGTGTATCCGAATTTCATTACCAATCTCCGTCTAAATAATTCGTTTATGTTTAAATTACCGTATTGCGTTTACGCACGCACTATGATAATCTTTGGGAAAAATTAATCATTTAATGGAAAACATAATTATTATATACTACATCATTTCCAGTAGATTACACATACACACGTACGTACTTACTCTCGCACATTTTTACAATATCAACGTATTATTTTTGGTTTGTATATATTTATAACTGCGTGTGTGTAGTAGTAGTAGTAGTAGTAGTAGCCGGAGGTAACAGCGCTGCTCCTTAAACTCGTAATTTTTAAATTATAATTATTGCTTATAAAACGATGTGAAATCGATTACTATTTTACGATGATGGTATTATAAATAATATTATATTTATAATTAAGTAGCCTATAGTATCCGAATTATGGCTACAGTGACGTGGCCATTATAATAATAATAATTATAATACAGATATTCGGGTATCGACGTGTATCTACGTGCGAACGCATGTATGCGTAATACTATGTATTGGGGCGTGTTGTAGTAAGCGATTAAAATATTAGTTTATGTACCTCGTATACGAAATATAAAGGCAAGGCAATAGATCGTTTAACTCGAAACACCCTCGACAAACTTATAATTATTGTCATTAACTCTATGATTATTTTTAGTGCTGCTGCTTAAATATTATTTGTACGCGTTTTCTTATTACAACATTTACTACGACCTATTCCAGAGCGCAGTTATTGTTCGTAATATTAATTATATTACGATACACATATCGCCGCAGTCGTCGTACTATACACACACACACACACACACGAATGACGTAATGATGAATGGTCACCTAATTTATTTTCAAATCAATAATTACAAAATAAAAACTGTTATGATACGGCGAAATGTTATTTATATCGCGGCTATTGTAACGAGAAGACGGTCGAAAACGGAAACGCGAGGGGTAGAAATCAATTAGAGTTTGTAATTTCCGTTTCGTTCGGATACTATTACTTATTTATAAACCTATTATCTATTTAAAATGAATGATTGAACGAAAATCGTGTCATCCGTCGAGACAGTGACGACGAGATACCGACCGAAATTCCGATGCGCGGGCACAATAAATATTAATAATATTTAATATTTATTTGTACTCATCATACCGTATACGTACGTACTCGTAGGGTCGTATAAATTGGAATGTTAAAAAAAAAAAAATAATAATATTATAACGAGTGTAAACGGGACTCGTATCGGAGTGCAAAAAATAACCGCGCATTAAGTGTTTTAAACGTCGAATCGAAAAAACGAGTATGGTTCGCGATGACCGCGCGTTGTACTCACCGGCGTAAATAATTTCACAAGCGGTGCGGCCGTGGTCGTCAATTAATTAATCAATTATTATTATGGTAATTGTGCCGGCGCCGAGTTGCCGAGTCCTCTGCTTGGTCAAAATCAATGTCCTCCAAATAAATTATATATTATATTATACCGCGGTACACGTAACGTTACAAAACGGTCGCGCGCATATTTGTGCGCCGTACGAACGCATTCGGAGTTGACGATGGGTAATAGTTTTTACATCGCGTTTCTCCGTCGGTGGTATTACGATTCACGATTGTTACTCCGGTTATTACCACACGGGTTACATTAATAATAGCAATACGGGATAGAAATGCTAACCGCGCGCACTAACAGCGGTGTAACACGATCGTAACAATTAATGACGATCGCAGTTGTAGCCAATAATTGTAC